GGTGAGAGTGTGAGAGGACTGAGGACAACGAGGTGCACTGGGAGCCGAGCAGCCACTGGAAGCATTGCTGCTGCCTTCGCTGCTGTTGGAAGCCACCACCCACTACCGATGCTGACGCTACCAGAAGAGTCACCAGCAACAGAGAATAAATGGCTTGGGCCGGCCGAGTGGCACATTGGTTAAGAGCTGGCTTGGGACGCCAGAGGGCCCCGGTTCGGATCCCACGTATGAGGGCCAGTGACACTGCCTTCTACAGCTAAGATGCTGAACAACAGCTCAACCTGGAGCTGGGCTGCTGAGAGTCGCCGGTGACGGCGTAGGCTGCAGCCCCTGTGGCAGTGAGTTGCCATGGGCTACCATGTGTAACCGGCAGCCAGCATGACCGGCCAGCAGCTGCAGTGAGCGTCTGTCCAAAAGCCGGCAACTGATCTGCCTTGCCTGGGAAGAGTGCAATGATGGTGCCAACTTGGGCCAGTGAAGCAACGTCCTCTACAACCAGACTGAAGAACAGAAGGACAGCAACTTGTCTGTTCCCCTTCCCCGGTTCCCCAATGCTGTCCCCTCCCCAAATTCCCCAATAAAATCTTTAAAAACTAAAAAAAAAAGAAAAAAAAGAAATGGCTTCTTCCTTCTTCCTGCCTTCCAGTTCACTGTCAGGGTCTTCCTAGCAGAATGTAGCTGGAAGCCAGCTGGAAGGCATAGTTTGCAAACTTGCAGCCCCGTGCCACACAGAGGAGGGCACTTCAGCCCAGGGGCAGTACCAGCTTCCTAACTGCTATGTGAAATCTCCTCCCTTTTGCTCCTCCAGTCCTTCCAACAGTCTTTGACCTAATTTCCTGCATCAAATCCTTCTCCGTTTGACTTTTCTGTATTTTCATTTAGTCTGTTCTGTGACTAGGGGCAAATCTAGGTATTTGGAGATCTGAGCTGTATTTAAAGCAGGGGAGACATTCTCTTTAAGAAATGTAATATAACATTATTTTTAAAATTAGCTTTATTAGCTTCATGGCAAATTCATCTTCGCCTATGACCTAACAATTCCACTTCAGATACATGCCCTAAAGAAACTCTTGCACATCTGTACCAAAAGGCATGGTTGAGTACGCTCACAAAGATATTCTTTGTAACAGGAAAAAACTAAAACTAACCCACCAGTATTGATAGGAAGATAGATACAGAAAGAGCCAATGTTTTACATTAAAATGATACCCATTTTCCTCAATCTATTCAATACAATACCAGTCAAATCATAGCCAGGTTAAATGGAACATGCTACTTCCAGACTTGACCTGTATCCTTCATTTCAGACAAAACACAAAAATCAATTACAGATGAATTAAAGGCTTAAATGTGAAAAGAAAAACCTTACAACTTTTGGAGAAAATCTAGAATATCCTTATGACCTTTAGGGTAAGGAAGACTTTCTTTTTTTAATTATTATCATATTTTATTATTAGTTTCAGGTGTATACGGAAGACTTTCTTAATGAAGACTCAATACACTCAAACAATAAAGGAAAAGTCTGCTAAATTTTGGTTCATGAAAAGATAGTCCACAGACTTCCATTTCCATCTAAGATGGAGTAATAAGGACTAGATTTATCTTCTTGTTAAAGCAACTAAAAAAAAGACAAAACATTTTAAAGATATTGGACACCAAGCAATAAAGGACAGCGACCCATGAGAAATGGGAAAAGATCAAGGGGAGCTCTGATTGTCCAAGCTCACTGCCTTGAGTTTCCAAAGGGAGGAGGAACTAAAGTGGAATACTCCCTGAATTGAAAAGATGGAGCTAAAGGTCGGGAGACTAAGGCTGCCAGAATTCACAGACATAAGACAGAGTACCAGAGAGGAGAGAAATGCACACACAGAGAGAACCTGGAGATTTGCAGAAGGTCCCCCTCAAGTATTTAGCATCTGAGGAAACTACCCAGGAAAGAAGCATCAGAAAGAATATAGGGACTAAACAAACAAGGAATAGAAGGGAACTTCATCAACCTGATAAAGGGCATCTACAAAAACCCCACAGTTAACATCACAGTTAATAGTGAAAGATTGGATGCTTTCCCACTAAGGGCAGAAACAAAACAAGATGTCTGCCCTTGCCGCTCCTAGTCAACATTTTACTGGAGGTTCTAGCTGGAGCAATAAGAAAAGAAAATTAAATAAGAGGCATCCAGATTGGAAAAGAAGAATTAAACTATTGGGTTGTCGGAAAAGTCATGACACATTTTTGCAATGAAAAACATAGAAAAAAATGACTTTTACGACAGCCCAATATCTCTATTTACAGATGACAAGATCTTATATACAGAAATCCTAAGGAATCCACTAAAAAAAACTATTAGAATAAACAATTCAGAGAGTTTGCAAGATACAAGATGAACATACACAATTGTATTTTTATACACTTGCAATGAGTAACCTAAAAGATAAAATCAAGAAAAAAATTCCATTCACAATAGCATAACAAAGGGTAGAATACAGAGGAAGAAACTTAACAAAAGTGCAAAATACTCTGAAAGCTACAAAACATTGTTGAAATTAAAGAAGACCTAAATAAATTTAAAACTATCCAACATTCATGGATTGGAAAACTTAATATTGTTAAGATGGCAATACTCTTAAAATTCATTTACAGATTCAACACAACCCCTATCAGAATCACAGCTGACCGGGATCTTTCCTTATACTACGTACAAAAATTAACTCAAAATAGATCAACGACCTAGCTGTAAGAGCTAGAACTATAGAGCTCTTAGAAGACAATACAAGGGTAAATCTTCATGACCTTGGCTTTGGCAATGGATCCTTAGGTAGGACATCAAAGCATAAGCAAACAAAGAACGAAATAGATAAATTGGACTTATCAAAATTAAAAACTTCTTTTTGCTTCAAAGGACACCATCCAAAAAGTGGAAAACAAACAAACCCACAGCTGCAGAAAAATGCATACATTTATTCCTTCAAAATGAGTACCTACTATGTGCCTGGCACTGTTTTAGGCACAGAGCAAATAAGAAAGACAAAAATCTCAGCCCTCCTGCCTTCTAGTGCAAAGATTCAAATAAATAAGAAAACTAAGAAAGGTGAAATTAGCTCAGACTGTAAAAACCTGTCCTGCTAGTCATTATCAACATAACAGCCAGCTTTAACAGGAAACAGTATTTCTTTCAAGGACATACTACTGTAGTCTCATAGTAACCCTTTTGAGCGATTACTGCTTTCTTACTAAGAAACTTTGTTCTCTAAAATAAAAACTTTGCTGCTGTTTGAAATCATATGTCAATTCCCTCTAGGCAAAAACCACCAGGAACATATCTGTTGTTGGAAAAGTTGGGTTTACTACTCATTGATGTAAAAGAGAATGTGCACCATGGGAAACCATGGGGTGTATCATTAAAATAGTGTTTGAATATAATTATAGGATTTGGGCTTCTTATTTGGGGGAGAGTTTAAGGAAGCACAGCTTTGCTGGGGATTGGATGCTGTCAGAAAGTGGGGTCAATTCTATAATTGGGCATCTTAATAAATCTTATCTATAATATAAGGAGGACAGACTAGAGTGAGGCCAAAGCTGTGATTGGTAAAGACGCAGCACTCTTATTAGCTGGGAGAGGGGATGTTTGGTAGTTTGTGGCTTGGATAATGTTCATGTTTTGTGTTCAACATGATTATGGAGTGGTCTGGTTTTGTCTTGGTCCACCATAATTATTCTGATGTTGATATTTTGTGCAACTCTTCATGCTCAACAGGAGAACACCAAGACCTAACCTAGCTGAGTACCAGGCCAGCTTGTGGATAGGGGAGCTGCTTTTCTCTTTCTCATATTGTCAGTAAGTGTGAAACATCCCCTTCTGGGCTAGTCAATCCAAGTCAGTTTTACAGAGAAGCAGCCTCGGTTTCCATCCCAGGTGTGGAGTTCCAGGTAAGTGATTGCATTCCACATCTTAGTCTTATAGTTTCTCCAGAAAATCTGGGTCTGCTTTGTAGTCCAGGCCAGATATTGACCCCTTTACACATAGCTATACTCTCCTTTGAGCCTATGAAAGCACTGCTGTATTTAAATTTCATCTCCACTCCACCCCTCCCCCAATCCCAAAACAACTCATTCCTTTGGTGACAGGCCCCAGGGCTCCAGTGGCGTGCTATCTCCCTTATTACCATGAGCCAATATAAACTTGACTTTGTTGAATTAGTTTTGTCCCTGGTGATCTGAGGCTGATTGGGCTAGCTAGAACAAAACTATATGTGATATCCTAGAGATAAATGCTGTGGGAAAAATAAAAGTAAGGGTAAAGAATAAGAAGTGTGGGGAAGGGGAAATTTGCGATTTAAATAGGGTTCTCAGGGAAGGCTTCACTGATAAAGTGAGTGACATCTGAGCAGAAACGGGAAGGAAGTGGGGGACTTTTTTCATCAGCTGGGTATCTGGGAAAAAGAGTCTTCCAGAAAGGGGGAACAGTTAGCGCAAAGATCCCAAGGAGGGGCATAGAGCGTGTATTCCAATCACATTTTCTTAGTGGGCCAACCCTGACAACCTCTTTAATTCCAAAACCTACCCCTACCCCATTGTTACTCCCTTATCCTGCGTTTGCTTTTTTCATTTTACTTTCCAATATGTAATTCTGTGTTTATTATGTTTGTTTTCTGCTTTGCACGAGAGCGGGGATGTTGGCATCTCGTTCATCCGTGCAGCCCAAGCTCCTAGCAGTATGGGACACACAGCATAAGCTCGACAGGCACGTGTGGAGGGACAGATTGTACTGCCCGGAGGCCCGGGGCTGGGGAGAGAGCGAAGTCAAAGGAAGGAAAGAGAGACCCGGTCGCCTGGGGCCTTGGGGGGGCCAGCCACTACGAAAGATCAGAGGCCGCAGACCCATAAGGAAGAGGCCAAACTCGCATGCAGAGAGCCGCCAGGTCCAGCGCTCCCCAGCAATGCAGCCGGATGCGCGTCATCGCGCGTGCGCCGGCAGCGTAGCGACGTTGCGCATGCGCGCTCCTTCCGCGTGATTGTCAGTGCTGTGTGGTGCTCTCCATCCTCCGTCGTCTCCGCGGCAATTTTTGTTCCCCGTCTCCGGCGGTGGTCCCTAAAGCTGAGAATGTTCCCAGAACTCAATAACCTTCTCAACACCACCCCTGACAAGGTGGAGCAGGTAATTAGTTGCGCGGTCGGGACGGGGGCGGGTCTCAGGAGCGGGGCGGAAGAACGTGTCTTCGGATGAACTGCACAGGGACCCTTGGGGAAGACGCGGCGTCCGTAGGCATGCGGGTGCCTGGGAGTTGTAGTCCAGGGAGAGTCGACCTGGTGCTTGGGCTGGATCTGCAGAAGGTGGGCTTCTGGACCTCATTTTCTCAAGTCGTGTGTGCCTTTGAAAGTTCCCAGGAAGCATGTCCGACGTATGGGTAGGCTTATGTTCACAGACGTGTACTGGAGGGCTCACGGAGGTGGGGTCCCGGCGCCCAGAGGAGGTTGTCTGAGAGAAGAGAGTTTGGTTCTCCACCCTTCGCGTGGAACCAGCTTCTTAATCGTCGAGTCTCCCTCTGGCCCTGGAGCACTCGGCGGATCGCCATGAACGCTGCTGCTCCTCTTCCTGTACCTCCTCAAGGTCTCTAATAGTGCTCTTCCAACCTGCTTTCAGCCAACATTGGGTTGTACCAAGTCCGCCTTTGGCGCCACAGCCTTGCCTCTGTTTTCTCTACCCTCCTTCCCTCACTCTGGGGCACCTCGAAATTTTTCACATGTTAGCTCAGGGGTTACCTCTCCCAGGAACATATCTGGTTTATTTCATAACCTTTATCTTCTTAAAGAAATGATAAGGTCTTCCTGGCAGCCAAGACGTGTGTAAAGCCTTTCTATTGACCCCACAGTGCCAGGCAAATTGTAGCTTTCAGTAATATATCCTTATGGATTTTAGTTGCCCAGTTGTTCTTGTCTGCTCAAGTCTGCAGATGGCGCTTGCTTACCTTGCCAATTGGCACCTCCAAAATCTTCAGCCCAGGACCAGAGTGTGTAATGGAGAACCAAAGTGGGCACCAGGAAATGACAGCACTATGGGTAACCCTCACAGTCGGATAGTGTGATCTTTCACGTTTTATAAGTGAAAAACAGATCACAGTGGTGCATCTGATACCACTTGATCCTGACCTACCCTGTCACTGACAGTGAACTAGAGGTGGCTGAAGCAGGGCAGCCAGGCACTGCAGAGACCATCTTTAGGGGTCTTTCCAGGTCTGTCCATGATCAGAGCTCTGCCTAGCAGTGTCCAGCATTATTGGGAGGAGAACTTTGTTACCCGAGGTCTCTGTGAACAACCACTTCTTCCGTTTTTTCCACCCCGTAGGACAGAATTAAGATTAGAATTAGAAATAGGGAGGGAGCTGGATCAGATGACTTTTCTGAAGGTCCCTTCCAATCTTGACAGGATGTGATATTTGTTGGATTCTGATGGTAAAAGCTTCCTTTGTTCAGTACCTAATTCTCCCCAAGATGGGTCCCTGAGTTACTAGGTGAGGAGTGAGGAAGATAAGGGATTTTATTCTGTTTTGCTTTGGAAAAGTGGAAGCTGACATATGCTTGCCCATAATGAGAGACTTAATACTGATCACTTTAATTGTTGGTTTTTCCATAATTTTGACTTCTTTTTTTGTAATCTTAGTGTGTATGTGTATATTTGTACTAATATGTGTAGGTACTTATTACATATATAATACATATATATATACACACACATACATACTCCTCAGGTGTAGAAACATCGGGTTGGACACAATTAATTATATTTATACAGTCAGCTGACCTCTTTCCAGGGAGTCTTAATTCACTTTTTTGTGTTTCTCTTAACTTTTAGGGGAAACTGACTCTACTCTGTGATGCCAAGACAGATGGCAGTTTCCTTGTGCACCATTTTCTCTCCTTCTACCTCAAAGGTATGGGACTCATTGATGCTATAGAAAAAGAAACCTAAGGGGAAAAAATCCTATTTCAGGAAGAGGATGAGGATGAGAATAGTATGAACTAGCCAGGGCTTTGGTGTTTGGGTAGCCAAATGGCTGTTTATTAGGTAACAGGTTACTGTACCATTTTGTTCCCTACCCAGCCCTGCCAAAGAGTGGCATGTGCTCACTGTATCCATGTCCTACCTTCCGTTTCTCCATCCCCTGTGCACGTACCGCCTCACTGTGGTCCTTTTATGGTCCCCTGTGTACTTGATCCTCAGTCCTTGTGTATCTTGAGGTCTCTGGGCACTCAACTCATTGACGCTTTGCCCTGGCAGTAGATGCTTCCCAAAGAACACAGGGAAGAGAACTGCATGGGCCACTGTACTTTACATATGGAAATAGATTAGAAGAAGAAAACATCCAAATGCAAAAAAGACTCGTGTTAATTGATTCTCCTTGAGCCCCTCCTGAGCCCGGCCAGAATAGAGGGTAGACCTTTGGCACTCTTAGTCATAATAATTTGCAGTTTTGAAAGTTTTCTTTTCCAGGTGACGTTATTGTCAGCACAGAAAGAACAAGAAAATCTACAGATAATTTATTAGAATTAATTATGTTTGGTAAGGTAGCTAGAGCTTCTTTGTGTTTCGTTTATATCCTCGGATATAGGACCAGTTTAAAAAATTAATTATACACCAACAACAAACAGAAAAATATAATTTTTTTAAAGAGCACAATTTATTTACAATAGAGAAAAATAAAGTACCTAGCAATACATCTAACAGAAGAAGTCGAATCAGTGGAATAGGTATAATCATTAAATAGGAAAAAAAATTACATCTTCAAATCAAATTGGGTATGTCAGGTTGTAAGACTTCTGGGTCTTTAGACTTGCCTCAATGCTTTTGTTTCCAGAGATATGAAGTATATGAGACTGTAAATACAGACATTATTAAAATCAATTTATTTTTTTTTTCCAGCTAATTGTAAAGTCTGTTTTGTGGCACTCATCCAGTCATTCAGTCACTACAATATCGTGGGACAGAAGCTGGTAAATATTTTAGACCTCTGTGGTGAGGTCCCCGAGTGAGGGTGTGTACCACACATGTGTGAGTATGTTCTAAGGCTGGGCTTCCCTATTTGCACTGTGGAGACCTTAGCAAGGGAGGGACTAAGGAAATCGTGGGATCCTAAACCCCTTATCTAAGGCTAAGGCACCATCTCTGCATGTCTTATTAATTTGGAGTTTGTAGAACCAGATCTGTTTTAATTAATCAAACCCACCTCTACTGATTCTGAACCAGTTAACATTTTCTCCTCAATGGGGGCTTTAATCTTGGTCCTCCTGGGTTGGAGATCACAGCTTGGTCTGCTGCCAAGTTCAGTAGCCCCCACTTCTCTCTAAATCTAGGGCTTAGGACCCAAATGTGGGGAGAGGCGCCTTTATCACCTGTCCCTCATCTTATCAGAGGAAGGCAGGCAAGAATGTGATGGCCAAGAGGCTGGTGAACCTTCTGGCATCGCTAGGGCCATTACCTGTGACCTGTGACCAGGTGGACTTACTGAGGTTTTTCTTTTTGTTTTGTTAGGCCAGCCTGAGAGGGAAAGAGCCTGACCACACCCATCCGCAGTGATCTTTGAAATGCCAGTCTTATTGCTGGGCCAAGTCACTGCCTCTCTGATGGGGAGAAACAAATGGGAGGTTGAGCTTGTTCCCATCCTTTGCAGACAAGGAAGAAGTTCCCGTGTTAGAGGTTAGCATGAGCTCACGGAGAACAATCATGTCGAGAACACAGGTTGCATTTCCGTGGCTCTTTATGGCCTTAGCATCTGTGTTTCTGGATGAGAAAGTCGTGTACCCTCATATCCAGATTGGCTACTTTTCCTGTTACCTTGGAATCATTATGAACATGGCAGGAGTGGCGTACATAGTCCTGGGCATGTCAAGTACTAGAGGGTGAGCTTCCAGACTCCTGGTGTGTGGTCATGCTTACATCAGGGGGATGGTAATGAGCAAGGGCAACCGTGACGACCAGGAGTCTCTCTCCGCCAGGGGCTGCTGTTGTTGCTAATGGCCTTGCATAGCGGAGAACGCTGAAGGTGCAATGGATACCTGGTCTAGAGGCCTGTCACCTGTTTCTGCACATGTAGATTGTGTCATCATCCCTGGGTGTTTGTTAGAATGTAGATTTTTGGGCCATGTCCCTGAAGTTTCTGGTTCTGGAGGTTTGGAGTGGGCTCAAGGACTCTATTTTAATCAGATGTCTCAAGAGATTCTTAATTGGGTGGTTCTTAATTGGGAAGAACCATATTTAAGAAGTTCTGCTTAGAGCACGGGTCTACAAACTTCAGCCCCTGCCCCGTGTTTTGTAAATAAAGTTCTATGGGAACAGCCATGCCCATTTGTTTATGAATTGTCTCTGGCGGCTCTCGCTCTGCAATATCAGAGCTTAGTAGTTGTAATAGAGACTGTCATTCTCCCACCGCCTTATTATTATTTACTTATTGTTTTTAAATGTGCTTACTTTTATAAATACATGCATTTAAAAAGGAAACTTTTTATGTTACTATTATACATTAAAAACCTGTACAGGGTAATCATAAAAATAAATATGTAAGCAAAAGAATGTAAGTTGTTTTAAAAATTAAAAATTAAACGTAAATGCTCATCTGAAAACAGAATGGGGATTGTGGGTGGGAACACCCAGGGAAAAGAAGACCTGGGCCCCATAGGGGGGGTGGACAGGTGCCCATTTGCGTGGTTTGGACTATGTTGTGTGCCCTCTGGTGAGCTGGAGTCTAGCCTTTCTGATGGGTTCCCCTGCAAGCTGCAGTAGCTCATGCTCCTCTTTGGCATTTTAGGGTGTCAACCTGACCACGGCACGGGAACGCGGGCAGCTTGTGTTCCTCGAGGGTCTCAAGTCCTCGGTGGACGTCTTCTTCCGGGCTGAGGAGGAGCCACATCCCCTGCAGTTCCTCAGGTCAGTCAGCCTGCAGCTCAGCCCAGAAGTGCACACCGGGTGGGTGGGCCCAGACCAGGGTTGCTGTGCGATTCCTTCTCCTCAGAGTGTGGGAGGGCAGAGCTGGCTGCAGCAGTCAGACACGTCCCTGGTGGTGCAGCGTTATCGGAAAGCCCTTGGCTCTTAGCATGGGCCAGAGAGAGTGCACGGCTGTCCCAAAAGCTGTAGGAAGTGTTACTTGCTGGAAGTATGGTAGAACATAATGCTTTACTGGTTTTTCCAACCCTGGCTCAGAGCCCTAGCACATGCATTTGTTCTGTTCTTGGCTTGATACAGGGTCAGCAGCTACAGGCCAAGGGCCAGCAGCCTGTTTTTGTAAATAAAGTTTTATTGAAATAGCCACATTCATTTGCTTGCATATTGTCTCTGGCTGTTTTGCACTACAACAGCAGACCTGAACAGTTGAGACAGGGAACAGGACCCACAAGCCTAAAATATTTACCATTGGCCCTTTAACAAAAAGTGTGCTGACCGCTGTTTTGGTTTTCTGAGATTGGGTTTCCTGTGTTTCATTCCTTATGAGCATCAGTCACAAACATTGCTCTGTGCAGACTCCCCACCTGGCTGCTGTTCTCCCTCCACCGCAGAGGAGTCCATACGGGAACTTCTCCCCACCACACCCTCTCCCAGACTCAGCCTTACCCGGAGGCCGGGAGGCAGTGTGGAGTCAGAAGGCCATGTGCCCTGATCCTGTGCATGTGAGCTCACACACAGCCCTTACCATCTCTAAACCTGGAGTCTTTGAACGATGGCCTGGTTACACCTGACCCCAGGTGGTGCGGGGTTGTCACCCTTGCTGTTAGTGGGGCTCAGCCCTGGAGCGTGGGGCAGTGGGGCAGGTGCCTGGGTTCTGGGCCCCAGTGCTTTTTGAGCCTCTATTGCTGGGAAATGACTGCTGAGGGTAGCCACTGGGGAGATGGAGGTAGCTGGGCCAGCTTGTTCAGAAACAGGTTGAATCTGTTTTGGACACAAGCAGCCCTTAATCCAGTGGCCTCACCACGAGGACACCTGTGTTACTGTTTAGCTTTTGTGACCTTCTGGGAGGGCTTTTCCTGCCTGCTCAATCCAAACTAATCTTCAAAGTGCTTTAAGCTCTTGGATTGAGAGGCTGGATGGCGTCTCTTAATGGGCCTGAGAGGCAGTTTATTTTTCTGTCCCTGGTTTGTACCACGGTGCTTTGTGCTCTGTAGGCCTTAAGGGATATTTGAATATCCCTTCCTTGTGTGTGGGCATGTCTTATCTTGCCAACTAACCATGAACCCCTTGGTGCCAAGGACTGTGATCCAGTTCTTTGCCTTCCCCCAGCCCTTCCCTGTGGTGCTGCTTGGTCCCAGATAAACCTTTGTGAGAGAGCGAACTCTCTGGTGACTTTTGCCCTTCGTCCTAGGGATGCCAACACTGGGAACCTGCAGCCGCTGTACGAATTTGTGCGGGAGGCCCTACAGCCTGTGGACAATGGGGAGGCCGCCTGGAGGTGCCCGGTGCTGCTGGTGGATGACCTCAGTGTGCTGCTGAGCCTGGGCATGGGGGCGGTGGCTGTACTGGACTTCATCCACTACTGCAGAGCCACCGTGTGCTGGAAACTACAGGTGAGCCCTCAGGAGCTGTGGACTGGACGAACTGGTCACCTCAAGTAGGACCTCAGGCTGAGCTTGGTTTTAGATGACTTGAGCTGGAAGTACAGGTTGGATGTGCTGGTGATGCTATCCAGCGGATGATTGGAGTTAGGGTGCTGGCGCCCAGGCATGGGTCCTTCCCACAGGGGGAAGGTCGCAGCAGTGGCAGGGAGGCTGACCTGGGAGGGAGTGTGCAGGGGCGCAGAGGCCTGATTCCACAGCATCCTGATCTGGTATCCCTTCCGGTTGGGAGCAAGTTCCCATCTTGTACCTCTGTGTTGCAGGGAAACATGGTAGCCCTTGTGCACGACAGTGGAGATGCCGAGGATGAGGAGAACGACATCCTGTTAAATGGCCTTAGTCACCAGAGCCACCTGATCCTGCGGGCCGAGGGCCTGGCCACTGGCTTCTGCAGGGACGTGCATGGGCAGGTGTGTCGGGGCTGGGCACAGGATTCTCCTGGGTCCCAGGCTGCTCACCTCTGTGCCTGAGTCCAGACGGCACGTGGGATGGTGTCGGGCTGCAGGCTTGTCCGCCTGGGAAGCTGTGTGGATGCAAGTCACAGTCTGCTCCAGAGGGTGCCTAGTGCCATGCACCATGGGAATTTTCCATGGTGGTCCCATCGGTGAGCAGAGGGGAGCTCCTGAAGAGGAGACAGCTGTCTGGACTGGAGTGCAGGGGCCCCGCTACTAAACAGCAGAACCCCTCTGTAGGACAACAGCAGGCTTTGTATATTCAGGTCAACATGCCTCCTTTTAAAATAGGTACTTGGGGAGGCCTGACCCATGGCAGGGTTGCTGCCTCTACACAGTGTTTAAGTACTCAGGCAGAAGCTGAGGCCCTGCCATGGGAGAGAGGCCAGCTCCCCACCCCCAACCCCACCCCGGGTTCTCTGCCCTCTGGAATTACCCCAAAGCCTCCACCACAGCTTCCAGGTGAACTCCATGTTGACCGCTCGTTCTTACCCTGTTAAGGGTGGGAGTTTGGGCCCAGAGTCATCCAGAGGCAAGTATGGACAATAAAGCAACACAGAAGTGCTGTGTTGGTGATGCCTGTGACAGAGTGAGGAGAGGGTTCTGCTGGGCAACTTGTGACCTGGCTCTGCAGCCAGCCCTTCCCCCGAGCACTCTGGTCAGCCGCGACATCACCAGAATCAATGTCCAGCCTTACCGAGCCTCTGAATTGAATGCACAAATTCTAATTTTTTGATTTTCAAAATTAATCTAGCCAACAAATACATAACCCTGTATAAAAAAACAAAACAAAACCAAAGAGGAATACGTAAAAATACTTCAATGGTTTTTCTCTGGTGATTTTTTTTTCTTTTTTTTCTCTTTCACATTTTCTATAAAGAGCAAATATCACTACTGTGATGGAGGGAAAACCTTTATTTTTGTAATTTTTATTTCTTTTAAAGATTTTATTGGGGAATTGGGGGAGGGGAACAGGAAAACCTTTATTTTTAATTAGCTTTGTTTTGGAAGTCCGTCCCACTAACTAACGTGCAGGTGGCACATGTGACAGTGATCTCAGAGAGGCCTCAGTTGAAGGTCACCGAGGAGCAGGTACTGGTGGGGGGCGCTCATCTTCACTCTTCTCCCTGTTCCTATAGCTGAAGGTCCTGTGGAGGAGACCACCACAGCCCACAGCCCAGCGGGATCGGAGTCTCACTTACCAGTACAAGATACAGGACAGGAGCGTATCGTTTTTTGCCAAGGGACTGTCTCCTGCTGTTCTGTGACCTGACCGGGGCTGCCGAAGCTCCCTTGAGCTGGCTGTTTTCGGAGATAGAAGACAAAACAACCAAGCAGGAATGGATCTTTACACCTTTGTAGTGGTATTTCAGGCTGGACTGGCGGCTCCACTTGGACCCAGGGATGGCTTAGTGGTGCTGTGACGGTGTGCCTTTGTTCCCCTGGGCTCTGCTCAGAAGACAGATGAGGAATCTGCAACCCTGCCTCTGCCAAGAGGGACACTGTGTGTTGAACCCTGGTAAAAGGGGTCCTTTGGAGCCTTCCTTGTAAATGCACACAGCCCAACAGCCCATTTTTGGTTGTTGTGCCTTTCAGAGCCAGAGTGGGTTTGAATGTGCCAGCCAGGAGACAGTCCTGGATGGCAGGCATCCAAGGGGACAACTCGGATAATCATGGCTGGCATAAAGTGAGTTCCCATATCATGGCTTCCCATGGATTGTCTCGTTTCATTTTCATCTTTGTCTTGCAAAGGTATTGTCCTCTAATCCAGTGGGGAAACAGCTTAGAAGGGTCTGGAAGGACGCTTAAGGCTGTAGGTAACAGAGGCCTGACTCTAGAGTCCACCCTTGCTGATGGACCCTCACGGAAGCCTGAGGCGGGCTCCCCACCCAGTTCACAGCTTTGGCTGCTCCTGGTTTGGGCTTGCCTGTACCATATGCTGATAAGGCTTTTCATGTGAGGCCCCAGATTGGCCCCATGCATGGCCTTGGTGAGAGGGCTAAAGAATGTTCTTGCTGCCAGGCAGGATGGGGCCTTGGTGAGGAGCAGGTGCCTCCCTCACCTGTGAGGAACACAGGAGGTGAGCTTTCACCCCAGCATTCTGCAGGTGCCAACTTGCCACAGCACTTACGAGCTCAGCGGCCATTCAAGGCCTATGGGGTTGGGCATATCACATTGGATGCTACTTCTTTGTCACCTCAGGCAAGTTGTTAAAGCCTTGGGTGCTTCTGTTTTTGAATCCTTAGAATCGGGTTTATCTTACCTGCCTGTAGAGGCCATCACAAGGATTGTATGAGGTAATATACGTAAAGCCCATCTCTGGGAAGGAGCCAACAGTCAATGGTGCCTCATTATTAATGGCTGCTAGTGTGAGCTCTGTACTAACCCTTATCCTATTGCCTGTCAGATTCTGTTTAATGGTACGCGCTAAGACGATGTCTCTAGTTTAAGGAACGAACTTGGTCTATCTCTGGTCTCTGGTGCTTGGTACAAACTCAATAGTTAATAAAGGCATTGAGTGAATATCAACACAACTTGGAGATATTAAATATTTTTAGTGACTCATAGTTATTAGAATGGCTGCTGTTTATTGGAATTCAGGCTTTGTACAAGTGTTCACACGGATTTAATTTTTTTTTCAAGAACCACAGAGGTCGGTGTTCTTGGTTGCATCTTGGAACCTGACCCCTAAGTCGAGTTTCCCTGGGATTAAATTCATTTTCCTGGCCACAGAGCAGGAGCTGCTGCTGCGTGTGAGAACCAGGACTCAAATCCGAGGAGTCTGGCCTTGAAGCAGCCCTTTCTACCTTATCACGTTGCCAGCTGCTGTCACTAATGCTTAATTCATGATAAGCGTGATCTTTAGTGCAAGTGATTGCAAAGACAGACCCGTGTCATTAGGAAGCATCCTTCTTTGCATCCATGACAGGCTGAGGCAGCTGGGCAGTGGGCTGGAACCCAGGGTCCTGCATCCCTGACTGTGGCCACTCAGTTATTAGAGTGACCTTGGGCAAATCTCTTCCCCTCTTGAGGAAGGTTTCCTCATTTGTGAAATAGATATAGTCCCTATTTTTCAAGATTTTCGTGAGGATTGGCCAGTGTGGAATCTCAGCGACAAGAATTATCACTTGATGACCTCTGAGCTCCATTAGTTGTTTGTTTTTGTTTTTGTTTTTTTTTTAGCTGAGCCATCCTGCCACCTGTTGGCAGCTCAGCGGCTGCTCAGCTCAGGCCGGGACTCGAACCGCTGTTGTTCAGAGCTCAAACTCTTGAGTGAGCTCTTAACCAACTGAGCCACTCAGCCGGCCCTAGTTTTTTTTAAATTTTGAATTTATCATTCCCATGGAAAGCAACCTAAAGTAAGGTTGAGCTTTGCTGATAACAAGGAGAAAATTCTGAGATGCTATAAATTAAATGACAGCAGGCCGGAGGGTAGAAAGAAGAGACTAGAGGTTAATCAGTTAACAGCTGGACGGCAAAACCAACAAAAGATTGCTTATATTGCTGAATGTATGTTGAAACTGAATTAACTTGCAGGTGGCTATATCCTTATTCTCTAAAGAGAATAGCCAGGTGCCGCCAACCACCAGGTGCCTCTGCTGCCTGCTTACCTGTGAACTTTCCGGATTGCCCACAACCAATCCTAAACAAACACTTATTCCTTACGGACTCTGTACCTATCCCAGAAGTAGCCCCACGTCAGTTCTCCCACCAGCTTTATCTGTAGCCAATGTAAATCCTTTCAGAACAACTTACATCTTTCTTTCCCTAGCTGTTTGCATAAAAGAGCCCACTAACCCCAGGACTACAGACATGCTGCCTTCCTCATCTAGTGCTGCTGTTGGTAGTTTAGACTTCATGTCCCAGGACCTGGTCTTTTTCTTTTTTTTTTTTTTTTTTTTTCTTTTTTTTTTTTAGCTGAGCCATCCCGCCACCTGTTGGCAGCTCACGGCTGCTCAGGCTCGGGCTGACTCGAACCACTGTTGCTCAGAGCTCAAACTCTTGAGCGAGCTCTTAACCAACTGAGCCACTCAGCCAGCCCTGGACCTGGTCTTTTTCTGATTAGCGTTTAGCTCAATAAACCCTTTCAGAAAAACTCGGCTATGAATGCTTTCGGTTTAACAGTAGTTAGGGCTAAATGGAGCTTTTCCACCTGAATTATATTTAAAAACTAAGATCAGGTATTTGCAACTTACCTGGGAATGCATAACAAAGGAGATGTGTTGATAAGTGGTTAAAGGGATAGATTTTTTTAGATAGATAATGATATACAAAGCAAAACATTAACAAGTGTAGAATCTAGGCCTTTATAGTTGTTAACTGTATGGTTCTTGCACCTTTTCCCTGTGTTTTGATCATAAAATGTTGGGTGAGAAACCCTAAAATCATGGCCACTTCTCATGGAGGGCATTCTGTAGCAAATTAACTGGGGTGCCCATGAGCCTCAGCCCTCCCATTCTCCCCCCCCCCCCCATCTGCACCTCTGTGGGTTCGCCTCTTACTCATGGCCGTGCTGCAAGGTACAGAGGCGCTGGCTAAGTGTCAGTTTTGGAGGCTCTTGTTTTTGGAGGAAAGTGTCCAGACCTCGCTGAGGGTCAGTCCCCTGAAAACAAGGTTGGGTGGGCAGGGGGTGGTTAGTAAGGGGGAGTGACAACAGTGCCCAAAAGACAGTCTGGCTAAGTCCCTGCCATGGAGGTTGAGGAAAGACAGGTTCCCAGCCCTCTCTGGAGAGAAGGCTGGTTCAGCAGGCCTACGGTAGGACTCAGGAAGGTTCTGATTTAACAATGTTCCCCAGGTGATTGTGCTGTGAGGCACGTTTAGAACCACATGTTTTGTAGGAACTTGACAGTAAAAGGAAGGTATTGAGACTTGGTCATGCAGGATCACTCAGAAAACAGAAAAGCTGGATAGACTTTATATTTGCCAAAAGGAACACCGCAGTAGAGAGAGGGAGGAACTGGTGACAGAAAAGTGAATGCCTTTTCAAGGTTTCTGAGGGGTCAGATGTCGGCATTTCAAGCCTCTTCAGGCTTGGACAGAGTGATGTGAGATGGGTAAGGGCTGTAGGTAAGGCTCCCCCCACCCCGCCCCTACTGCTCTCTACTGTTGCCTCTCTCTAATTTAAAAATAACACACAGAGAAAGAATTCTTAATAGGAAAAAAATCGTCTAATACCCAAAGCCAATCCTGAATACAGGGCATAATCTTAAAGGTCACTTTGGGTCAAGGCCAGTTGTCCTCATTGTTTAATTTAACCGTGACAACAATGTGGTGGACTCTCAGAGAGGGAGGCAAGACTTTGGCGGCCCTGAGAGGTGGTCCAGAGTCCAGCGGGAACAGGGTTGGGGGAGCCTGTATGACTAACCGCCTAGGAGGGATAAGGCTGCTGGAGCTAACAGAAGGGCTCCCGGTTTCCGCCTGCGTTGTGGCTATATCTGCACTTCATTCAACCCCAGCGCTGCCGCCCTTGAGCAGGAACAGGGTCGAACACCGTCGGCTATCCAGGTAGGTCCGGGGTGGGTGCCCAGGACAGCAGGGTGGCGGCGGGGCTGACCCCTGACACACCAGACCCGGTCTAAGAGGGCTTGGGTGGTAGGATCAAGGTGCCCCGGCACAGGCCCAATCGCAATGGGCAGCATCCCGGAATGTACCTGCGCTGGGCGGGCCGGGACCTGTGCTCCAAGCGCGGGCCAAGCCTCCCTGTCCCCTTTTGTGAGACCCAGAAACAGGACCTACCTGGGGGCTTGGGAGAAGGTCAAAGCGCTCGGCTCAGCACCTGACAGGAAATGCTCTGTGGACGTAGCGATTGCTATTACAACAAGTACACGTTCCATGTAGAAAATGGTTAAATGTCCACCAGCAAATGCAAAAAACCCAACACCTGTAATCCTCCACTCGGAGAGACCCGCGGACCTCACAGCAGTTATCACCCAACTCTTCTCCTTGGGCTGTTTTTAAGAAAAATGAGAGCGTATTCTACAGCTCATTTTGAACCATCTTGCAACATCAGTATTTATAAAACATCCTTTTAAAAGGCTGTAGGGAGACTCGTTTTATGGACACAATTTATTCGATCCATCTGCATTTGTTGTGTATACCGGCTGCTTTTAATTTTTTGCTGCTATAAGACAGGGAACATGAGCATCTTGTGCATGTCGCTAACTCTCTGGAACCGGTTGTTAAAAGCCCTGTGCGGGCCCGCCACCTCTTCCTTCCTCTCGGTTGAGTGGCTGGCATCCGCCAGGGGGCGAGCGGGAGCTGGGGCCCGGGCTGGACTACGCATGCGCGCGCGCCACAGGGAACACGTGCGGAGGGCAGCGGGGAGGGAGGGGAAAGGTAGGAGGTGAGAGGTGAAGGGGCGGAGAGCTGCGCCGGCGCCCGGCGGCCGGGAGAGAGAGGGCCGGCGCCACGCACCGGACAGCGGGCTGGGAGCGCGCACGCCGCGCCCCGCCCTCGCCGCCGCCGCCGCCGCCCGGGAGCAGCTGCCGCCACAGGTACCGCCGCGCGCGTCCCCACGGCGCCTCCCCGCGGGCCCCGGCCTGGGCCTCCCGCCGCGCGGCCCCGGGAGTTCCGGGATAGGGGCCGCCAGGGGCACAGGCGCGCGGGCGTGGGCGCTGTCCAGCAGCCGTGCTGCCTGGGCAAGGAGACCTCAGCTGGGAGAGGGGGCCGGGGCGCCGCGTCCCCACCCCCACCCCCCCGGGCGAGGCGCGCGACCCCACTCCCCCGGTTCCAAGTGACCACTGCCTGCTCGCTGCCGGGAGAGGGGGTCGCGCTGTTGCGCCCTGGCCCGCTATCCCCCGCGAAGCCGTCGGTTCTAGAACCTGCTTTTGGGCTGTCTCGGTTTCCCAGAGTACGGGGGAGAGCACGCCGTCCGCTCCTGCCTCTTTTGGAAGATCTGATTGAGAGGCGTCACGTAGCTGCTTTGCTGGGTTTTGCCTGGTTTCTAGTTTTTTGTTTTGCCCATAGTCAAACTTTGCCCACCAGCGTTGCCTCTGTTTATTTCTGGGTGGGTTTATTACCTCTGAGTATCAAACAGGATTGTAACGTTACCATAGCATTAGTTTGAATGGGAGAAAGTTGTACCGGTGGAAATGCTGTTGGCTGAAGTGGGCAGTGAGTCCCTGTGGGGGCTCTGGCAGGAGTTTCTCCTAGTTTGGGCCATTTACTCCCCCACCTTCTACGGTGACAATCAGGGCTGCGTGGCTAAACTCTTTCGGGAGATTTTTTGTGATAATTCTTGTGACGAGGATGTAGTAAAGGTTTTTTTAATGCTGTTAAAGTTAAGTGCGTTTCTTTCATTTGACCCAACGTTTAGTGGAGTTGGGTTATGCGGCGTCCTTCTTGGTGTGTCATCTCAGGCTCTTGTGCTAAAGACTGAAGCTTTTATAAGGAAGGGGTCAGGGTCAGGGGTGTCCAGTTAGCGCTGAATACGGTTTGGGTGTTTCTAAGTGATGCCTGATTGACGACCTGTATCTTTTTAAGTGTAAATATAGTTTTACTTTTAAGTGTTTTACACATTTGCAACATTCCC